GAGGTCCATGTGGCGCCGTAGGTGGGATGCCGGCGTCCTGAAGGCAGAGGCCCTGGCCCTCCTTCCCTGCGGCCTGGGCATGGCGTTCTCCCAGTCCCACGTGATGGCCGCCCGGCGGCACCAGCACAGCCGGCTCATCATCGAGGTGGACGAATACAGCTCCAACCCCACCCAGGCCTTCACCTTCTACAACATCAACCAGGGCCGCTTCCAGCCGCCGCACGTGCAGATGTAAGTGGGCGGCTGGTGGGGGGACCGTGAGGGGTGTGGGCAGTGGTGACCGCCTGCGCGGGGCTCCGGGGCTCGGATCCCCCTCCTGGCTGCTGGGCTCAGACTAGAGGAGTTCTGGAAGCCGAGGATCCCAGAGGCTCCAAGTTGGGAGGGATGGATGAGAAGTGGCAAACCGATGGCTTGGCGGCTGAATCTGGCCCGTTGTCCTGTTTCATTTGGCAGGGAGAATGTTTGACAAGTATTTAAAAATGAGGTGATTTCACATCAAAATCCAGACTTCTGGCATCGCTTTTAAAAATCAGAAGGCCTGGCTGCCCCATGCCCACATGTGGTCCTGGCCGCATCTGGGGCTGAGTTCCAGCTGCCCCTCTTGGTGGTTGGGTTTGTGACCCTTTTGTAGAGATGGGGAAACCGAAGCCAGGAGAGGGCAAAAGACTTGCCAGAGGTCCCATGGAAGGCCAGGAGCTGGGTCTTAGACTGGCTCTCCCCGACCCCTAGCTCCCTTGCCTCTCGCCCAGACCCCCAAGCTTCTGTTGAGAAAGCAGAGATGCTTTTCCAAAAGAACTGGAGAGTCCCACGGCTGCCTTCGGGGCTCTGATGGGAGATAGCAGGGGTGCCCGAGCCCTGAGGCCCTGGAGGGTGCAGACTTGGGCCATCTTGGATCAGCACCAAAAACTCGTCCCCGACGCCTGTGCTTGGACGAATCTTTCCTGTCCTTGGATTTTCTCTGAGTCCCAGAGAGGTGTGGATGGCATGGGGTGGGGGCGGATAAACTCCCGGCCCTGTCCCAGGTGAATGTGTTCATAGAAGACCCCTCCTCCTTGTTCCCGGGTGCCCGAAGGACGTAACAGGCCCAGAGAGGAGAGGGGAGCCACCCAGCCCACACAGCTAGCAGGCCCCAGAGCTGGACTCGAACCCAGGCTGCCTTGGCTCCAGTTCAGGGCTCCCTTACCTTCAGCAGCCTTTTGTTATGATGTCTGAGATGTACTCACTTCTAGCCCGAGAGGTCAGTCATTTGTCAGCTCGGTCTTGAACATTCTTGAACATTCTCCTGGCGTTTTTGGGGTGCTTGCCTTGTGCTGGGCCTGGGGTGTGGACGAGCCCTTGGAGAGCGAACAACTCCTCAGTGACGGCACGGGGTGCTCAGAGCTGAGTTGGGGGTGCTCCGGCACTGGGGGGCTCCACGGAGGCTCTCCTGATCTCCAGGCCAGGTCAGATGCCCCCATGAGGCCCCCCACTCCCCCACTCCCCAGCTCCCTCTAGGGCCCCGAATGCCATCTGTAGACAGCAGTGTCCCGCCACTGTCCCTTTGGAGAGACTGGAGAAGCCAGCAGGTAGACCCCAGAGAGAAGGAGCGTGGGGGTCTCCAGCCTGGGCTGGGAGGTTGTCGTGGTCTGACTGCTGCCTCTTCTCACTGTGTGGTCTCCTCTGGGACCCGTCCTCCTTGTCAAGGGCAGGTGTAGAGAGATCATTCATCAGGGAAAGATTCCGGAAGGCAGGCAGCCACCAGGCCTGGAGGTGGGCTCCAGCACTGGGAACACCCTCTTCCCGTGGTGCTTGCTCCGGAATCCAGAATCCGTGGGGGCTGCAGGGCTGACCTTGTCAGTGCTGCCGACTTTATTTTTGGTGGATTTCCATTGGGAAACTGCATCTGATTTCCTTTGTGGGGCTAGCCCGGCAGCCTTGGGCTGGGTGGATGGCCTGGGTCACAGGCACGCTGCTTCTTGGGTGTTGGGGGACCTTGAGGCCTGGTGAGGGCTCTGCAGGGAGGGAGGTTTCCTGCTTTCTTCCCTGGGCTAGGCTTTCTCATGGCTGGGTGGGGTCAGTCCTCCAGCTGGATGGGTTGAGGCCCAAGGTCCCTAGATTCAGGGCTGGACTCCCGCCCCAGCCGGAATGGAATGAGCATCTGGGCCTCAGGCAGAGCAGGTGGGGTTGATGGATCTGCCTGTTTGCACGCCCATCTCAGAGGGATCCCGGGCACCGTAGATAATAACCACAGGTGTTAGTTTGTGAAGTCGACTCCGACTCATGGCAACCCCATGTGTACTGAGTAGAGCTCTGGTCCATAAGATTTTCAAGGCTGTGACCTTTTGGAAGCAGATCTCCAGGCCTTTCTTCCGAGGTACCTCTGGGTGGGTTTGAACCACCAGCCTTTTGGTTTGTAGTTAAGTGCTTAACCGTTTGCACCACCATGGCCAGTAACCATAGAGAGCCGTCATTACCGGGGCCAGGCCAATGCCTGCCTTAGGGAGCACCCCGTCCCTGAGAGAACAGCCAGCCAGGGAGGTGACAGGGGAGAGGGGGTCCAAGGAGGCCCCTGCCAGCCTTGGGGGTCAGGGGAGAACCCCTGGAGAAGGGGACTTCTAGGTTGAGACCCAGAGAAGGATGAGTGGGGGGTAGCAAGTTGGGAGGGAGCATGAGGAGGGGGCGGGCCAGCAGGTCAGAGTCTGAGGTGGCTGCGAGAAGGGGCGGCTGGAGAACTGGACAGAGGTGCCCAGCTGGACAGAGCTGTCCATGCAGGGGCCACTGCAGGCCCTCGTTGGCCAGGCTGTGTCCCAAGGAAGGGGAGTAAATGACCGAAGGAAAGCATGGTTATTACCCCATTTAATCAACGAGCAACTGAGGCTCCTACATCACGTGTCCGTCCGTTCAGTCTCTGAGCAGCCACGTGGCACACTGGTGAGGAACGCTGCCTTCGAGCTGGCCCGCTGCATTTGAATCCTGGCTCCACCCTGACCTGTGGGGCTCATACCTCTCGGTGCCTCTGTGCCCCCACCTATAAAATACTGCTGAGAGTAATAAAAATAAAAAACCAAACCAGTTGCCACCGAGTCAGTTCTGACTCACGGTGACCCCACGTGTGTCAAAGTAGAACTGTGCTCCGAAGGGTTTTCAATGGCTGATTTTTTCAGAAGTAGATTGCCAGGCCTTTCTTCTGAGGTGCCTCTGGGTAGACTGCAACCTTGAACCTTTCGGTTAGCAGCCAAGCGGGTTGACTGTGTGCACCAGCCAGGGCTTTGCTAATGGTGATACTTAAGAGTTAAACAAGCAGGTCCACAGAGCAGGGCCAGGCGGTGTCGCTAACGTTCAGCGTTATTAGCACACGCCAGGCCTGGGCTAGGTGCGCGGGACACACCAGTGGTCAGAGACACACCCCTGCCCTCGCTGACATCTGATGGGTGACAGACTGTTAGCAAAGGTGACGAAAGTGCATATCAGCACCTGCCGTGGAGAGAAAGTTTAGTGGCTTTCCCGTGATGTCACAGCTGGGCCAGGCTGAGTGAGGGGTCACACCCAGCCTGCACTGCTCTGGGTGGGCTGCCACCTCCCAAGGGGGGCTTCCATGGGCAGCAGGGCTCAGAGGCAGCTGGGGGTTTGGGCAGGTCCCAGAAGACCTTGCATGCACTAAGCTCAGATACTGGACTCCTGGTCCAGTGTTCCCTCGCTGCCTGCCAGGCCACTGGGCTTTGAAACAGAACTTTGCACAAAGCTGGGCAAAGCTGCTGTGAGGACGTTCCGGGGAGGGCTGTCACTACCCCCCTTATTCAGGCTGCACGCCCTGAGTGTGGGCTGCGTGAGGGTCTCAGTCTCCACGCCCTGAGCGCGGACTGCGTGCAGGTCTCCGTGGCGGGTTGGCTGCTTCCGCCCGTGGAGTGAGGCGGGAGCACAAGGCCCCTCCCCGACCCGTGATTGGTGGCCGCCCTGGGCTTAGTCTCTGGGGCAAGGGAGCAAGGGCGCTTTATTGAATAAATCCACAATTAACATGTAATGATAACAGTGATGGTGCGAACGTGGCCTCCGAGCCCGCCATGTGATTTATGCAGTTGCCTTCAGAGACCTTGCCTGTAACGAGGCTGCCGCTGCCCGAGTGATGAGTCTCCAGAACTGAGCCTTGGAGACCGAGACCCTGCACTCTGGAGCTGGGAAGCCAAGTGGCAGCCCCTGGGTGAGTGGGCAGCCAGGCAATGGCCTGGGGGTCGGTAGGAAGACAAGAGCGAGTGCGGTGAGGGTCTGTGGTATAGTCCCTCGTGGGGAGCCTGGTGTAGTAACTCCTTTGCCAGCCTTTAAAAGCAGCGGTGGTGACGGAGACATCAGCTGTCCCGTTAAAGACTCTCTCTCTGAGCACCTCAGGCTGCACAGGGTTCTTGAAGGATGTAGCCGAGGGAGAGAGGGTCCTACTGTGCACCAGGCCTGGACTGTCCCCTTTGTGCACATTGTTCCCAGCCCCCAGCACTGCCATACCAGCACCCTGACCCCCCTTCTCCAGATGAGGGAACCGAGGGTCCGGAAGGTGAGCTGAAGAGCCCGGGCCTGGGGGAAGGGGCAGAGAGCTGGGATTCACTCTGAGACCCTTTGGCCCTCAGCACGTCGTCCCCTAAGAAGACTCCAGGAGGCGCTGTGACAGCAGGCCTGGGGAAGTGATGGTGTTGGGGCGGGCCAGGGGCAGGGCAAGGGAAGATTTCATCCTGCATCTCTCTCCCACTGGGCTCCATACTCTGCGCGCCTCATTTCTGGGACGTTCTATTCTTCTTCCTGCCTCGGGTAAAGGATGCTTCCTCGCTCTGCCTTGTTAACACTGAGGCATCCGTGAACTCAGCGCAGGTGTCACTTCCTCGGAACGGTAACTGGGTCACACCCCCACCGCAGCTCTAGGGACTCAGAGCTGCCTCCCTTGCTGGCCTACCTCTCAGTTTGTGTTGTACATTACTCTGCGACCACTTCCCAAGCGTCATTGCCCTGCTCCAGCATGGGGCTGTGCCCCAGAGCCTGCACTGTGACGGAAGGGGAGGAGAAGGGAGAGAGCACAGGTAGGCAGCAAGGCCCAGCAAGAGAGTTGGGGTATCAAGGAGGGCTTCCTGGGGGCAGCGGCATCACCCTGGGCCTGGAGGGCGAGCAGTGCTCTGACCTAAGGGGAGCTGGTCGTTCAGGTGAAAGGCTGGGAGGCGGGCAGGCAGGGCAGGCGGGGGACATGGGACCGTGTGGTTGGGGTGGAGGGTCTGCACCTCTTTGTCACCTTGGAACCAGTGGTCTGTCTGTGGCGGAGCACTGCACAGGGAGTCCGGGAAGCTGTTGTGCAATACTGAGCCATCTAGGCACTGCCCCGCCCTGGGCCTCAGTTTCCCCATTTGTAAATGAGGGGCCTGGACTAGTCGCCCCTGTACCCGATGCCCAGTCACACAGCTGGACACGTTGTTGAGCCTTGATGTCCTGAGTGGTCCTCTGGCCTGTGTTTGTGGCCCCATCTCCCCAGGAATGGGATAAGAGGGGCAACAGCCTCCGCTTCTGGTGCCTGGCTGGGGTTTGGATGCCAGGAGTCACACTTCTAGCGAGCTGAGTGTTATGGCAACAGGCCTGAGACCGGGGCCGGGGCACGCTTTCACTGCAGGGTCAAAAACCACAAAGGTAGTTTTGCAGAGTTCTCACAGCCAGAGAGTGAAGGGCCGTCCCTGTCATGCGTAGGTGGATGGAGGCTGGGGGGTCACGGGACACGGGAGGAGGCCGCAGAGCCGGGCCCCAGCCCAACTCTGGGTGCCGTGGGCCATGGTCTTTATCCTGCACTGATTCAGCCACCAGGACTCCCACTGGGACATCCACCACCACGGTGCAGGTGTAGGAGACTGTCGGGGGAGGCGGGGACAGACTTCAGAGAGCTGTGGCCTGGCGTAGGGCCACCCCAGCAGGCGGGAGCTCTGGAGAAGTTGAGTTTCGCTCCAGGGAACATGGAACATTTGTTTCTCTACCTTCTCCCTCGTCCCCACTGAGCCTTTGTTTTTCTTGTCATATGAAGGTTCTGGGGCTAGATGCCCAAATGCTTGTTAGTGAAGACTCAGGTTTGAATTCTACTCCGTTGACTTACTAGCTTGGACTCTGGGCATGAACCCTAACTTGTCTGGGCCCCAGTTACCACTCAGGCTGTTGTGACTCAGTTTTTAGTCCGGGTTTGCCACTGCATGTGTCAGAAACCCAGCTTAAATTGTGTTTCTTGCTTACATGATTAGCTAGGAAGGTCAGGTTTGGGGCTAGCTTCAGGCACAGCTGGATCTAGGAGTTGAATGATGCTGTCAAGCCCTCTCATCTCTTATACGCTCTCTCTCTCTCCATGTCTCACCCCTTCTTGCTTTTTTTCTTGCTTCCAAACATAAGCAGGGTTTCTGTGTGCTCCCCATGGGTGCCCTTCAAGAACATCTTGTCCACAAGAGTGTCCCCAACATCTAGCAGGTGCCAGGCATTTAGGGGGCACTCAGTAAGCACTTGTCCATTGATTGATTGAATGAAATGAGGTAGGGCCTGATGTGAGCTCTGGAATAAAAAAACAACAAATTTTAGCTCCACTGGTTTGCGCTGAGAGCATGGGCAAGTCGGCCTTTCTGAGCCTCAGTTTCCTCATCTGTAAAATGGGGACACCCAGAGTGCCCCCCACAGACGGTCATACAAGGGTGAAGGAAGTGAATTCTGTGAAGTGTTTAGCACATAATGAGCTCTCCATGCGTGGGAATTATTGTCGATACCATTACGGTTGCTCTTATTTCAAGGTTGAGCATTTGTTACAATCCAAATAGCCGGAGGACTGTGCAGGGTAATAAAAGTCTTTAGTTTTTTCTCTGGGGATTATTAGGTTTGCATCTTCATAGTGCTCAGAGCCTCGGGGTGTAGGGAAATAAGAACAGTTAATTAAAGCGCTCAGCCCAGCGCAGGCCCAGCCTGACGCAGGCCCCCGGAGCACGCACGGCGGATGGTGGGCTTGTTGTGGGCGGTGGGAGCTGCGGCCGCTTAGAGCTTCTATGCTAAGGGGGCTCTCTGGGGGAGGGGGATGTTGGGGCCCGAGTTGGGTCTGGGGGTGGCATCCCTGTCTCTCCCTTCTTTGTCTCTCTTTATCTCTTTGACTTGGTCTCTGTCACCTCGTAGCATCTTCGCGACCTCGGCTCCTTGGCCAGCTGGGAGATTTCCTCTGTGCTTCTTGGGCCAGATTCCGAGAAACAGACAGACAGGGAGAGATGGGGGGAGGGAAGGCGGGAGGGACAGAGGGAGCGGCTGATTGGCTCATTTCTGCTTCTGGGTCAGGCCCTAAGCCGGGCCCTTGGCCAGCCCAGTAGTGACTGGCTGTTCTTGGTCCAGTCAGCTTGTGGTGGGCAGGATGTGCAGGTGGACCCGAGGCCAGCTTTACCTGCAAGACTTTCTGTCACTTGTGGGGGGTGTGTTGGGGGCTCCAAAGGACAGAGGAGTGGTGGGAATTACTACGACGGAGATTTCAGCTTCCAGGCCAGCTCAAGCACCATCTCCTTCAGGAAGCTTCCAGGGCCCCAGGCCAGCTGAGGGCCTTCTCTGGCCCCCAGCCCCTCTGCTGCCCCTTCGAAGCTGGCGACCTTATTGTCACTGTCCTGCCAAACCTGTCTCTGCCATCAGTCTGGGGCTTCCAGTGGACAGGGGTCCAGCCTGATTCATCCCTGTGTCTCCAACATTGAGCTCAGGGGTGGCGCACAGTAGGTGCTCAGGACATGCTGTTGTCGAATGAATGAATGGGTGAATGAATGAATGAAGAGGGCAAAGGAGGAACTCCCAGCGCCTTCCTGGCTGGTCGCTATTGGACATTTTCAGGGAGTGTGACTCTTCCCCCAGTCCCTGTCACTCCGACCTGCTGGGATCTAACTCGGCTTCACAACCCCCAGAAAGGCCCTAGTGTGTGCCTCTGTGGTTAGGGTGGCCGGCTCGGCGCCTCCAACGACGCGGATTGAGCGTGTAAAGCGCCCTGCACATTAGCATGCTGAACCCACGCTTCTCGTAAGGTGTTAATTAAATTTCTTCGAAGTATATTGTCTGAAGGAAAAAAAAAGGATAATTAGAAAGATGTCTTTAAAAGTATTTATGTAACTGATATGGCACCGCTTTTGGTTTGCCGCATAATTAGATTTAAACACAACTCCTCGAGCGGCATACTTATCTGGAGGGTGCTGCTCGTTGAAATGTCATTGCATTATTTTTAAGAGTTTTGAACCTGCCGCGATCATGCAACTGGGAAGGCAAAGAGTCCTGGGGGGAGCCCTGCCCTGGGAGTTGGGGTGCACCTTGCTTGTCCTTGTCTGTTACAGGAGTGGGCTGGGGTGAGCTCCTGAGGAACAAGAGCTGACGTCCATCTGGGCAGCCCCTTGTAATTGTCCGAGTGTCCCCATTTTACAGATGAGCAAACTGAGGCCGAGTGTTAGCTGAAGGTCACACAGGAGTGATAAGTGGCAGAGCTGGAATTTGAACACTTGCTTCTGATTCCAGGACCGTGTCCTTACATGACTCTGGAAGGCCCTTGTTCTAAAAGTGGTGAGATCCTCTCCCAGTTTTGGAAATTGCCACCCACCCTGATTTCCCTCCATGTTCATGGGAAATGGCCCCTTTCGAGATCGCTCCCCTCGAATGCTGCGCGTGTCTGCATGGCACGGGGAGTCTGCTCTTTCAGTGAGACCATGGACTTGAGTTCATGCATTTTCAGTGTTGAGACATTGCCCCCAGGGGGGTGGAAACTGGTTCTTGGGGGAGTGAGAGATCTCACTCTTTTTGTGTATAAAGCCTAGGTATACAGACGGTGAGATGGTGGTGGTTCTGGGGTAGAATCCTCCCCTTCAATGCGGGAGATTCCTGGCCAGTGCACCTCGTGTGCGGCCACCACCTGTCATGGAGGCTTGTGTGTTGCTGTCATGCTCGGAGCTGTGCCACTGGTACTTCACATACCAGCAGGATCACCCGTGGTGGACAGGTTTCAGTGAGCTTCCAAAGACAGAGTAGGGAGAAAGTCCTGGTGATCTACTTCCAAAAATCAGCCAATGAAAACCTTATGGATCATGACGATCTTATCTGCAACTGATCGTGCGGATGGCACAGGACCTGGCAGTGTCTTGTTCTGTTGTGCGTGGGGTCACCATGAACGGGGTGCTGACTCAGTGACAGCTAACAACATCTGTAAGTACAAAAACATATACAATGTCTCTGTGATGTTCAGATTTCAGGGGCCGGGGCAAGTAGGAAACAAAAAATCTCAAGAGGCCCCTTAGCTGAGGGGGTAATGAGTAGAAGACCGAAACATTCCCTTTAGTCCAACAGCGGGTTAGTTATAATAATACAACAGGTTTGTTATAATAACAGGAACCCGTGTGGGTAGGAGGCCAGGCACTGCTGCAGGTGCTGTTCACCCATTAGTTTGTTTAACCCTCACAACAACCCTCTGATGTGCCCATGTCACAGAGGAGGAAACTGAGGCTCCAGGAAAAATGTTTGCCTGGCTAGTGAGCGCAAGAGGCAGGATTCCAACTGGGTGGGCCCGACCTGGAGGCTGGGGGTGCAGTGTATGCTAGGGGAGGGGGGTCAGTGCATGTTAGGGTGGGGTGGATGTGTGTCAGGGTGGGGTGGGTGCGTGTCACGGTGGGGTGAGGGCATGTCAGGGTGGGGGGAGGGCGTGTCGGTGGGGTGAGTGCGTGTCAGGGTGGGGGTGAGTGCGTGTCAGGGTTGGGGGTCAGTGTGTGTTAGGGTGGCGGCTCTGTACATGTTAGGGTGGGGGCTCAGTCCGTGTGGGGGTTGGGGTGCTCTGAGTGAGCTTGGGGACCCAGGAGTGGGTACATTGTGGGAGCATCATGGGGGTGGGAGGACACGGGCCCTGTGACCCACATGTCCCCTCTCCCGCAGGGTGGACCCGGTGCCTCATGACGCCCCCAAGCCACCCGGCTACACCCGCTTCGTCTGTGTCTCCGACACCCACTCGAGGACGGATCCGATCCAGATGCCCTACGGTGACGTGCTCATCCATGCTGGCGACTTCACGGAGCTGGGGCTGCCGAGCGAGGTGAAGAAGTTCAACGAGTGGCTCGGTAGGTCCCCCACCCGGCCCACCGTGCAGGGTCAGGAGCCCCTTCTGCCTGTCAGCCTGCCTCCCTGCTCTTCCCGGTCCCCTCCTCGGCCTCTGTCTGCCTGTTCACCTCCCCTGGGAAGCCCCCTGAGCACCCAGACTGCTCGGACCTTTTCGGGGGCTCCCCCTTGGCCTCACACTTTGGGGGCCACACCTCGGGCCTTTCCTGGCCCAGCACCTGTCTTGGTTGTGACTTTGGATTCGTTTGTGGGCTATTCCCCAGGCTCTTTGTCCGCTTCTGTGTCCAGTCCCCGGGGCTGGGAGAAGAATTCATTCAGCAATTCGTTCAGTCTTTATTGTTGGATGAATGAATGGCTGAATGAGTGAATGAATGGATGCCTCTCTGGACACGGTGATGTCAGGGCTGGTCTCAGCTGGTTCCCAGGGAGGGGCAGCCTTGGGACTCCGTGGTCTTACCAAGGGGCCCCAGGGAACCAAGTGGGGGCCATGATTTTCACGAACGCCCCTGGCTTTTGTCTTTGGCTTCTTGCTTTTTTCCAAAATAAGAAAGAAAGAAATCTGGGGTGTCCCCAGGAGCAGCCACCTGCCTTGGGATCCGGAGGCACCTCACAGGTGACGTCTCTGCCCTCACCCTGGGGACAGATGGATGCCCACGGGTGGCTGGCCTGCTGCTGTGGAGGCGTGAGTGTGGGCGGTCACCTCTGTGAGCAGCCCCTTGCAGCTGCCAGATGGTCCCCACCTCCCCAGAGTGCCCAGCTCTGTGGTTGGCTGGGGGCTGGCACGCAGAGGGCTGGAGCAAGGCAGGTCGGCCGCGGCGAGGGACAGGCCCAGCTTTGCCAGTCGAGACAAATATTTACAAGCAAGGCCTTCCCCTCTGCTTGGCAGGCTTGGAGCTTTAAATATTGATTTTTCAAACGGGAAATTCTAATGATAGCTCCGTTTGGACTGAGACGTGTGGAGATAAGAGAGGGCTCCTGCAGGGTGGCTGAGGCGGGGGAGAGTTTGGAGGGCCTGTCCAGGCCTGGGCGGCCTCCTCTACAGGGGACCTGTCTTTGAGGCTGGCTTCATATCCCACCTCGGCTCCTTTGGGTCTCTTGGCTGACTCAGGAGTCAGTTTCCATGGCAAATCTCAGCAGTCACTGTTGGCTGAGCACCTATTATGTGCCAGGTATGAGGAGGCAGCCTCTTTGCTCCCTTGCTTACATCTGGAAACAGCTGTCTGAGGTGGGTGCTATTTTCATATGTGTTGACAGAGGAGGATACGGCCTGCCCAAGGTCCCCAAGGGTGGGAACTGACTCTGGTGTACACCCCGGCCCTTGGCGTGCTCCTGCAAATCTTGATTGAGTGACTGAGCCAAACCACTGAATGTGAAATGGCTGTGGGCACCCAGGGCTGGGGACTCACAGGTCAGGGCGGTGGTGGGTTTCCGTGGGGACAGGTGAAGGCCTCGCGGGGAAATTGGCTCTGCCCCTGGGCTTTGACGCAGGAGGTGGGTGTCTGCCCCCAGGAAGGGAGCTGTTGCGGGCAGACACCTGGTGGTAGGAGCTTGAAAGAAGGAATAATGTGGTGTGGCTGGAGCAGGGGGGCTCGGGAGGACGTGGTGGACCCGGAAGGAAGGACAGGGCCTGATCATGACCATATTCTGATGGTGAGTGGGACCCAGGGAGGGCCGGGACATTTACATGAAAGTCCTCTCTACCTGCCCCTTGGAGTCCCTGACTGGTGCGAACAGTGAATGTGCTTGCTGGTAACCCAAAGGTTGGAGGTTCACGTCCACCCAGCGGTGCCTCGGAAGAAAGGTCCTGGCGATCCACTTCTGAAAAATCAGCCATTGAAAACCCTGTGGAGCACAGTTCCACCCTGACATACATGGGGTCGCAAGGAGTTGGTATTGACTCGACAACACTGATTAACTATCTCTTAGCAGACGGAAGAACAGCATGCCACAGGAACGGGGGGGCCTTTTTGGTAATTTGCACTAGCTGTTTTTTTGTTTGCCTGGGTTATTACGAGTGAGGGATGTGAGTTCACAAAGGGGCCTTCCTTTTTGCTGAAGGCTCCTTGAGCCAGGGCCTGTCCTCTCTGCCGCCTTGAAGTGTTTGCAGATGTCAGTACTTGCCACTCCGGTGACAGTGTGTTTCGAAGATCAGGAGCTGCGCCTTGGATTGATCAACGGAGCCGAGGCCTCTTTGGAATTTGCGCGTGAGTGAGAGCTTAAGGAGAAGCTGGTTTACGGAAGCCCATTTGCCACGGGCTCTTGGGAACTTCCCTTCCGTGAGCCGGCGTTTCAAGCCCCCAGGGAGGAGGTGGTTGTGGCCTGGAGATGCGCTGTGCGCTCATAGGGACACCTGGACAGATGGGTTTTTATATATGTTGTTAGTTGTTGTCGAGTGGGCTCCGACTCATGGCGACCCGCGTACAACAAAATGAAACGTTGCCCGCTTCTGCATCATCTTCACGATCCCTGGCACGATCGATTCCACTGTTGCAGCCACTGGGAGTTTTGAGAGCCTTCCAACGTAGGAGGCTCATCTTCCAGCACTATACCAGACAGTGTTCCGCTGTGATCCGTAGAGTTTTCATTGGCTAATTTTCAGAAGTAGAACCCAGGCCTTTCTTAGTCTGGAAGCTCTGTTGAAGCCTGTCCACCATAAGTGTCCCTGCTGGTATTTGAAATACCGATGACATAGCTTCCAGCATCACAGCAACATGCAAGTCACCCCAGTATGACGCACGGACAGACTGGTGGTGGTTTTTATATCTAGCTGGTGTTCCCTGAGCATTTAGTATGTGCTGGGTGTTAGCTAGTTTGTGTGTGCTGTTAGCTCATTTAATCCCCCTGGCAATGGAATGAGGCAGGGGTTATTGTTATCCCCATTTTACAGAGGAGAAAACCAAGGCCCAGAGAAGCAGAGTAACTTGCTCAAGGTCACACAGCTAGTAAGTGGCAGAGCTGGGATTGAAACCCAGGCAGTCGGACTCCAGAACTGAGCTCTTGGCATCTCCTTTGTATTGCCTCTCTTGTTCTTCTCGACCTTCAGAAAACTCTCTGACTTGAGTTAAAGGGAGTACCTGCTGGATGAACTGAAGGTCTGGCCGCTAGTACATGTTAGGGTACAGCAAACAGATGCGGTGCTGGAAGTGCTCACTTGTCTATGCCAGGAAATTTGGAAGATAGCTACCTGGCCAACCGACTGGAAGAGATCCATATTTGTGCCCATTCCAAAGAAAGGGGATCTAACAAAACGTGGAAATTATTGAACAATATCATCAATATCACACAAAAATAAAAGTTTGCTGAAGATCATTCAAAAGCGGTTGCAGCAGTACATCGACAGGGAACTTCCAGAAATTCAAGCAGGATTCAGAAGAGGACGTTGGACCAGGGATATCACTGCTGATGTCAGACGGATCCTGGCTGAAAGCGGAGAATACCAGAAAGATGTTTACCTGTGTTTTATCGACTATGCAGAGGCATTTGACTCTGTGAATCATAACAAATTATGGATAACATTGAAAGAATGGGAATTCTAGAACACTTAATTGTGCTCATGAGGAACCTGTACATAGACCACGAGGCAGTCGTTTGAACAGAAGGGGATACTGCGTGGCTTAAAATCAGGAAAGGCATGTGTCAGGGTTGTATCCTTTCACTACACTTATTCAATCTGTATACTGAGCAAATAATCTGTGAAGCTGGACTGTGTGAAGCAGAATGTGGCATAAGGATTGGAAGAAGCCTCATTAACAACCCGCGATATGCAGATGACACAGCCTTGCTTGCTGAATGTGAAGAGGACTTGAAGCACTTACTGACGAAGATCAAAGACCACAGCCTTCAGTATGGATTATGCCTCAACATAGAGAAAACAAAAATCCTCACAACGGGACCAAGAAGCAACATCATGATAAGTGGAGAAAAGATTGAAGTTGTCGAGGATTTCATTTTACTTGGATCCACAATCAACGCCCATAGAAGCAGCAGTCAAGAAATCAAACGACGTATTTCAGGGGACACATCTGCTGCAAAAGACGTCTTTAAAGTGTTCAGAAGCAAAGATGTCACTTTGAGGACTAAGGAGCACCTGACCCCAGCCATGGTATTTTCAGTTGCCTCATATGCATGCGAAACCTGGACAGTGAATAAGGAATATGCCTTTGAATTCTGGTGTTGGCGAAGAATATTGACTATCCCATAGACTGCCAGAAGAAGGAACGAGTCTGTCGTGGAAGAAGTACAGCCAGAATGCTGCTTAGAAGGGAGGGTGGCAAGACTTCTCTCACATACTTTGGACATGTTATCAGGAGGGATCAGTCCCTGGAGAAGGACGTCATGCTTGATAAAGTAGAGGGTCAGTGAAAAAGAGGAAGACCCTCGAAGAGATGGACTGACACAGTGTCTGCAACAATGGCTCAAATATAGCAGTGATTTTGAGGATGGCACAGGACCTGGTAGCGTTCCGTCCTGTTGTACGTAAGGTCTCTATGAGTCGGAAGTGACTGGACCTCCCCTAACAACAACAAAGATCTGGACATCGCTGTTTGGGGCCAGATGCTCGACATCTACTTCCTGCCTGGATGATGTGGCAACCACTTGACCTCTCTGAATCTCCGTGGCCTCGTTTTAAACGAGGGTGGCCAGGCTCCTGTGTCCTGCCGACCACCAGAGGTTGTTCTGAGGCTCCAATAGGATGGATGAAACAGTCAAGTTTTCTAAAGTATAAAATGCTGCATAAATGTGATTATTGCTCCTAGGAACTGGCATTTGCCAGATCAGGGCTCCCCTCGGGGTAGGGGACACGGGGCTGCACAGGACAGGGGACATTTGATCTGAGTCTTGAAGTTCAGTACAGGGAGAAGAGGGAGTGCATGTGGACGGAGCCCCTGGTGGCGCAAACAGTTAACGTGCTCGGCTGCTGACTGAAAGGTTGGAGGCTTGAGTCCACCCAGAGGTGCCTCGAAGAAAGGCCTGGTGATCTGCTTCCAAAAAATCAGCCATT